TTTTTAACCTTAGTTAAGGTTTCTCTAAAGATTTTCTTTTTATTTCTTTCTCAATCAGCAGTTTTTCATCTAATTCTTTTTGAATTATGTTTTGAGAACAACCTCAACAACAAAATTCAATATGTTCTCTATTTTCTTCATCTCATCAATTAATTTCTAAACCTTCTTTGGTATTTTTACAATTAAAACATTCTTTTTTGGTCATGATATTTTTATTTATTTAAACTTTTTATAAGAGGTTTTACAAAAAAAAAAAAAAATCAATGTTCAATCATAAGAGAGAACTCTTTAAATTATGGTTGGAGTGGAACATTAGTATTGGTTTTAGAAATCTAATTACTTATTGAGAAAATACCAAAAAGGAAAATATAAAATAGATAATAAATTTGTTCCTATTATTTTCCTTCTAGTGATCTTGGCTTTTTGATGGGTAATAATGCATCATCATGATGCTTTCTTTTTCTAACATTTATTATTTTTCTTTCTTCTTGGTAAATTTCATAGGTAATCCTTTCTTTTCTTAGATAAGCTTCCAGTGTCTGAGTATCATTTATTTTGAAAATGTAAGGAGCAATTTTTTCACCTTGTTCCTTTTTAAAATACTTCTAATTCTTGGGTTCCATAGTAGATCTGATGTAGATGAGTTTTATATTGACTATTTTTATCTAGAGACAAACAATTGTGATGTTAAACAAACACAATTGATCCCTAAATTTTTTGGTAATACCAATGCTCACTTTGTATGGTTTTGTTGCAGTATGCCCATATAATAAAAAAAAATTGGTATTAAACTAATTAAGCATATTATAGACTTGAGCAAATCTCTACCTGTAAAAATAATAAAGTTTCTACAAATCTAAACACACAATCGCCATCCAAATATTGTGTTGGAATATCTACTGATCTTAATAGAAAAAGGCGATTTATTTCATCATCATCCCTAATGAGAACATATAAATGAAGTTTTTGTCCACCAACCTGAATGCCAATTACACCAAACTCATCATCATCCATCTTACACCCCCTATGTGCCCAATACAAGCCGTCATTAATTTCTCTCCACAACTTCACTTCATCTTCTTCTTTTCATTTATCACAGACAAGACAAGAATATTCTGCAAAAATTAATTCATAGATTCTCCTATCATGCTTTGCCATGAACATAATATCTTGGCATTTCCCACTCTTCCCTCTTTGGTCTTTGCTAGCAACACTTTGGCATTCCGCCCTATATAAATCATATTAATATAACAATAAGAACAATTCTTAATGATAAAAAATACTCATGTGCTAATGAATGCAGATTTCCCGACTGGAAGTTTTTAATACAGCTTGAATTACAGGTACTATAATATCTGTCACATAGGTCCCTCCACTCTGTGGATTAGAAAACTTGGCCCAAAAGCTAAAGTATGTGTTCTTTTTAATTTTGCTTGATAGGAATTTGGATCGGTATTAAGCCATCTTTCAAGATCTTTTAATATGTCACTTACTTGACCTTGACTAATACCATATCTTGCTGCTAATTCAACATTCTTTGGTTCAGGCTTATTTTTTTTTTTAATAAGCAAATCTCTCTTTTTTCTTGTGCTGTAATAAAGTTTCATTTTTTAGTTTTAGATGATGATGTTTGTTCTTGTGACATTTTTTTTAATTAAACTTTATTTTATAAAAAAATATTTTTTTAAAATACATTACCCTTCAAACAACAAGACTTATATTTATATCTTTTAGAATTTCATAAATCACAGAAATAACCATATGTTTTATTGCAATTTGCAAAAATAATCATATGTTGTGTTACACAAAATTAATGAGAAACATGTTCTAATTCAGTGCAATTCTTTTTAATTATTTTGTGAAATAAAATGCCAAAACCTAAAAGAAAAATTAGGATGTGC